CTAAGTACAATTTATGTACCCACTAAGCAATATCTTCTGTCAATATTGCTAAATATTTCTCTATTCAGTTCTAAAATCTTGTTGGGAATTGCACCTGTATAAATGAGTTTTTATGACATTTTAAACTGACCTTTGACCTCTGGAACTGCCACTGTATCTTCTTTCTGGTCCACTTGACTTTCTAAATCTGTAAGGAAAAAAAGAGAAATTAGTATCTGTTAGTACAACAATAGACCATTATCCTAAATCACTTCAACTAAATACTGAATCTAACACCACAGTCAAATCTCGTCTTCTCGAACTCAATAAATTCAAGATACCAAGGATTCAAGATTATATATATATGGGGTAAAATAATGAAAGTATATGTGGTTGGGACTTCCAAATCACTTCAACACATCCATGGTATTTGAGGCATCAGAGTTTGACTTTGCGATATCAGACTTCAGCTTTAATTTTTTTTCCCCTAAGATGTGATACAGTACCTGGGACATACACTGCATTAAACAGAGTCTCCAGTGCCTGCCTCGCTGCCTCCATCTTGGCCAGTTTCTTGTTCTTGGCTGTCCCCGTGAAGGTTTGTCCGTCCACCTGAACAGACATCGTGTACAGCTTCTCCTTGTCTACTTCCTGTTCCGATACTAACTGATAGGTCATATTTCTGCGTAATTCGTTCAGGTACATGACTGGGTGTTTGTTTGTTAGTGTGCGAGGCAGAGGAACATTACCGGCAATGTAAACTCCTACAGAGGAGGGGTCACCTTGGTTGTCTCCCATTCCTGGTATAGGGGGTTCACATTTGATGTCCCCTGGCCCTAGTATAGGGGGTTCACATTGGATGCCCCCCAGCCCCATGGGGGGCTGTGATGTACCTGCTGTTGTTGATGGTCCTGTAAAATTGATTCAGAATTTATAGTCTCCATGTTGGATTCATTCACCGTCTTCTGGTTTCTCTAAACTTTGATTCTATCATGCATCATGCAAAAGATTTTTTGTGTGCATAATATTTCATTATTGTCATTGCTTAAGCTTTAGGCATATGTGTTTACCTTATTAAACAAATTAAAAGATTTCTGTGAAATTATTAATTAAGGAATGACTCTAATTCTTGGCCAGATTATCGAGTATAATATGGTTTGGGTCAGTTTACGCTTTATAATCCGCGAAGCGGATTATAAAAAAGCGTAAACTGACCCAAACCATATTATACTCGATAATCTGGCCAAGAATTAGAGTCATTCCTTATAATTTAATTTTAAAATAATTAAACAACTGGGGATGTAAAATTGTGTTGTTTTTATCAGTTCAAATTTACCGCGCAATAATACAACCGTAGTAACGGAAGTGATGGGAAGCAAGGGGAGGTAAAAACTGATACATAGATCTAGCAGCCATGATACTTGTTTACATGAGGTAAGATCGAGCAACTGTTTGAAGTTAAAGGTACATTCATTAAATCTGGAATTTTTCATGAATCCGAAGGACTGGAAATGAGGGGATTGATGGATACAGATGATTCAGCTGGTTGTCAAGGGGGTGTGTCCCCATACCAAACCAGATTATACAAAATGTTATGCGTTCCTTTTTGGAAATCAACCAATGAGAGACAAGAATACAAACAGAATTAAATTATATGAAATTACTGGTAATTATATTAAGTCAATTAAGTTTATCAAATGACCCTCAAAGGTCCATGCTGATTATAAATTTGAAAGCACCATTAGAGATATTTTGTACCAACTTAACCAAGTAAAAACATATAATCATTTTATAAGCAACAAAGATCTAGGCAGTCGCCACAATTCAGACATTCTGCCCGCCCATTCTGGTGACAGAAGAAAGTCTAAGTTCTACTCTGTACTCAGCTTACTGACTTATACCTGCATACGACCCAAATTATGGAGGTGTGTGTCCATAAACTCAGGTCAATCAACAAATCAGAAAACTAAGAACTGACATAGAAGTTGGATTTCTACTGTCCCAGCAAAGCATAAATCACAGAGGCTAGTAACATACACTGCTTGATTTTGTGAGATCCCTATAAATACAATGAGAAGTATATGGATCACGAAAAATCAAGCAATGCATGCTACCAGCCCCTATTATATATTTATGGCATAAATATTTGAATTGTGTCACCAAATGTTTGTCACTGACTTTGTTGTTTATTGTCATGGCCCAAGGTTATATCGTCAATCCACCCCCCTCAAAGACACAAAGCAGATCAGGCAAGTTTACACGATCAGAAGACAGTTAAGACAGACAGACAGTCAGACAGACATACATCAGTCTATCTTCACCGTCGGTATAATCACATAACTTGGTTGACTCTGCTTTTATGCTTTTGAGGGCGGCACATTCGGGATGGAATTTGAGAGAACCGTTTCTCACAAATGTGGTATATAACGTCAGACCAATGGTTTCCATGACAACTCACCGACCGATTCTATCCGTCTGGAAGCTTGCTGAGAGAGATTTCATACAAGCGGGATAATTTTGGTAACATACGCAAGCTTACATTGATCCTGTCAGAGCCTCTACCTTTCAGGGAAAATAAAAATAAACCTGACACATTAACCTATTTTCAATGATTTAGACTTCCAGTTGGTAAATTCATTCTTTAAGAGTTTCAGAGAGTCACAGTAACATCACTATAAAATAAATGTTTATCTTCATTATGAAATCATACCACACCAATACTGAACCCAATTGCCTGATAGGGGTCTAAAATTGCTCATTTTGAATTTCCTAAAGGAAATTAGATCATTTACAATGCTATAAAATATATTTAGATTATATGATTGACACACGAGTCGTCAATTTTATCAATAAAGTGAAAGTAGATGATGGACAGGCATAAATCCTACCAGTCACCTTTGTGAGTATAACAACACTCCCAAAGCTCACAGGTGGGATTTTTGCCTGATTATCATTTACTTTCACTTTATTGATAAAATTGACGACTCCTGTGAATAAAACCTGTGTTTCAGTTTTTAGTTCCAGTCTTTCATTTACTTTCAATCTTCACAATAAAAATATTTTGGACATGTGGAAATTTAATTGGCTTAAATTACATGCCAACCGCGAATTTTTACATGATAATGACCAAATAATCAAAAAGCTAGCATGCATAGCTACTCAGAGGTTCGTGTTTTTTGTGTTTTTTTTTTTATTTTTTTTTTACCTAGAGGTTCATGTTTTTGAATCGCTTGTTTTATATTGGAAATTATTGCTATCTTTTTCTCAAAAATGTTTTCTCAGCAACATATGTAAAATATATACATTTATGCTCCCTATATTTAGATGCTGCAAGTGTACGAAATTGAGGGAAAAAGAAATATTTACCTTCCATTCTAACTTGCTTTTCACTGAAAGGTGCGTTCAATTGTTGCAAGTCGTACATAGAAATATTCGTTCGAAAATCTTTAGATCAGTCTTTTAAAGGCTATTTGAGAATTCAATATTCCTGAACGTTTTCAACAAAATCCAAAATTATTAACATCCTGGTAATTACCACTTCTACCTTAAATTAAATATCTACTAAATTAAGAATTTTAATTAACTTGAATTTAAGAATTAAGTGCATGGCTTGACAACTGATTATTTTCAAACAGTGTAAAAGAAGATTACGAAGAGTGATCAATCTGGACAAAAATCCATATTTAAACAAAACAAATTTATCTAACATGTGAAGAGGGCATAAAATACGGACCCCTGAAAATCCCAGAAATGGGATCAGGTGCCTAGGAGGAGTAAGCATCCCCTGTTGACTGGTCACACCCACCTTGCACTTCATTCTTACATTCAAGTTAAATAAAATTCTTAATTTAATAGATATTTGGATTTTGTTGAAAACGTACAGGAACACTAAATTCTCAAATAGCCTTTAAAAGACTGGTCTAAAGATTTTCGAACGAATATTTCTATATACGACTTGCAACAATCGAATACATGTATTAAAATCCTGACCCACTCCTGAATTTCTTAAGAAATAAGGTATCATTTTTAAACATCTATCCGTATCGGGATATAAATACGGGTTTGTCACGAGATTAAATTTCATAAAGCTCGAAGGGCTTTATGATGATTTTAATCTCGTACCAACCCGTATTTATAGCTCGATAGATGTTTTAAAATGATACCTTATTACTTATATTTACATTTGTGACTTATTCACACTTTACATTTGCCTGATTGTGACTTTTCATGTGTGAAATGCATGATTTTTCAAACCCAACGGCATGTATGTACTCCACTGAATGCGCGTCGATCCTTCATGACGTCACCGAGAAATTACGTCAAACGTTTATCCATATGCACATCTATGACCTCTTGACCCCGTACCTGTATTTATACAGTTATAGATACGCGTTGCTTTCAGTAGTGTTATATAAAGGAAAGCAATATATACATGTATCTACAACATTCAAATCATTGAACATTCTCTATATATCTAGGTACATAAGATACAAAGTGTTAATATTTTGAACACCTCTGATATGTCAACGTGATTTGGAAATCCCAATTACTTAACTTTTTAGGCATTTTACCCTTAATACGTGTATATCAAATTCCTGGATACCTCAAAGTAACTGTTGTTCCTTGCTCCCTCTTGCACGAGTGACATTAAATGTAAAACTAACTTTCAACAGCCTTAGAATTCAAACAAAACAAACACTTCAATAGGTCCATATTTTTAATATTTTTAGTTTCATTTTTTTTTTTTTTTTTTACAACCTTCAAGACTAATATGAAGAAATGGACAACAACGCTTGTATGCTATTACAAGTTTTCTTCTAGTAACAGTTCTAGGACTGTTGTCCACACTACACAGAAAGGTCCCCTATATAGATCAGTTACAATCTGTACAATGTTTCTCTAAGCCAAGAGAATCATAAACATGTATCTAGTGCAGCTTTGGAGATCAGAACCAGAAGCTAGTTCAGCTACAGATTGTCAAGACTGTCTGTTTGTACAGAAACAATGTAAGTAAACTGCCGTATGTTTTCACTCCTTAAGAATTTATAGTCCTGTACAAATAACACAAGCTGCCTGTATAAGCTTAACACTGTTGACTTGTACATCTCAAATCTGGTCCAACTGAAACACAAAAAGAATGAAATATCATTATTATCAACCAACTATTTTACATAAAAGTACTGATTTCCTCTTTAAGATCTGAATCTTAATTGTGAATTTGCATTCATACTCCCACCTACCTACCCTAATAAGACTGCCTTAAAATTTTGCAGTGTTAACTTTTCTCACAATAAAGCAATATTTTATTTAGTAAAAACAGTGATAAACTCCTTGCAGTAATTAAAACATCATTACAACATAGAGCAAAGTAAATCTCATCAATTCACTGCAGTTAGCAGACCTGTTTACCCTTATCGTCGTCTCTCAGTATTTTTGATCAGATTTGTCCGTGAGATTTAACATTTGCCAGTAAGATTTCGCTTTCCATTGATTTTACGTAATAATTAGAGAACAACTGCTCCTTTGATTACTAAAACATGGTTAAATAACATGTTTTTTGTCATTTTATACCACACATTTTTGGCAATACGAAATCACCGATGTGCTTGAAATCTTTTTCTTTTATAGTGATGAAAGGGCGTGAAACTGAGACAGATCATAAGGATGATTGATTGATTGTTTAATGTCTCTCTCAAGATTTTTGTTCTCATTTTGATGCCACCATCCGCTCTGGGGAGCTGCTCATTAGCCCTCTACTCAATATTCAAGGCCTTCGAGCAGGAAGGGGGCTGTTTCGTGCCAGCACCTACTGCGACACAGGGCCTCAGTTTATACGGTCTCATCCGAAAGACCGGTCTCCGAGTCGCAGAAGTATGAGTTGAACCCTCGATGTAAGGAGCAAGTCCTTAAAATGCGCAACTCTTAGAGCAGACACTCTGACAACTGCGCTACGCAGATCATAACGATTGATAGTCAATGATTTTTGTTGTTGCGGAGTCGGCATTCTTTCAGCCATATCTCAGCAGATCATAACAAAAACTGCTAAATTTCTAACGAACGGATTACCGTATTTTCATAATAGTAAAACGTGAGACGTATTCTGGATTAAAAATCCGTAAAAAATACGGCGAAATCGTGAGAGTAAACAGCTCTGAGTTAGTCTGAATAAATCTGTTCTTTGTTACGCTCTTAAATTCTGATGATTGCTGTACAAAGTACAGCAATCATCAGAATTTCTCAGCATAACAATGACTTGATTTTAATCCCATTGTCACTGCAGTAAAACATGTTCACAGTAAACAGCTAGGTTAATCTGATGACTCACTAGATCTTCAGCGTCATCACCCTCGGCCGGTGCCTGGGACGCCTCCTTCTTCTTCTCTTCCTCTGTAGTGAAGGCCTTCGCTTCCTCAAGCGTCACTCGGCTGTCCTCACTCTCCGTCTTAGTGATCAACCCCAGCTTCTCTAAATGCAAATACAACTTCTCAATAATCATTTTCTCTTAGTCTCTTTTCCTCTGGCCCCCTCCCCCTCCATGACCTCCCATGAATAGCATTTGCATACTGGACATAGACCAACTCATTGTTACTATCCCAAGTCATGAAAATTCCTACAGGATTTATTCATTATAAATTCATATATAAACTTCTATCATCCTTCACTTGATTACAAAAGAGTAACTGTGTTGTTGTGACATCTATAACTGTGTTTTTCTTGTTTAAGAATAATCACATATCTTCCTCTTTCAACGTTAAGTTTATGGGCTGATTTGCCAAAAACCTATATATTTTTTATAGTAATATTACTACAGTATCTGAAGCTTTACCATTTACAAATAACCCCGAAATATAGTAACAGATCAAATCTAAATAACAAATCCAAATGTTGGGGTACACAAATCAAATGCAATATACAAAATGTACTAAAAGACACAGCACAATAATTAATGTGGAAAAACAGAAAATGCTGATTGACTGTTTAATACTTTCTCCAGTTGTAAATAATTACAAAAAAAAACTTTTAAATCTTCTACCACATTTAAGTAAGCTATATTTATTTCATTAGCAATGAGAAAACCTGAATTTTACCGTCTACAATCAATTCCCAGAAGTCACGTCTTCCTTTCTCTATCAGGAAATCCTTAAACTTTTTCATAAAATTATTGTACAATGTGGGCTCGGACTTCTGTAAAATATTAAAACAATTATTAAAGATGTTTACAAATATTATCATTTTTAACTTCAAGGTCAAATTTGAACCTTGTGAAAGGCTAGTACTTGAAGAAAGCTATTGCTCTGATAATTGATGATGATTACCTTTATAGATTGTTCCCGCAGGGCTTTTAAGCAGTCTGATGCCTTTCCATAAAACTGGGGGCCGAAGGAATCCGTCACTAGCTGTTCCACGCGCTGCTGCATCTGTTTAGAGGCTGAAAAGATAAACAGTGGCTGTACAGTGAAAAAATTATAATTTTTACAGCTTAAGAATGTTAGTGGATTTAAAACTGCATGTAGAGACTTATTAAATGTGCCTGACGAGGATTAAATAGATAGTTCAGACCTTCCTCGAATCTATCCGCATCTCTCTGGTTAATGAGTGTGATGAAATCATCCACTGGGGTCACTGTGCCAACCTAAAATTTTGAACAAAGCAAACAAATAAAATATCACTAATAAACTCAACACAAAATGTTCCTGTAAAAACATGAATTTCAGGCACTATATACATGTAAATATATGGTATAGCCATAAAATACTGGATAGGTATAATTTTTAGCAAAAAGAAAACTTAGTGATTTATCCATAAAATTTGGTATAATTTTATCAAGAAGTAAATCTATAAATTTATGATATTCTAGAAATATAATGGTAACCTTTAATGTAGATGGATTTTCAGTAATACATGTACATGTATTTAATATATTAGTTATCTCAATACCCTTGACAAAAATACCAACATTGAATCTTCTCTCTAAATTGTCTACATTTTACAATCTCACCTCTGTGACATCTGCCTTTGTCATGCCTGCTAATCCACCTCCCAGGTCATCGTCTAACTTGACCTTCTTCGATGACGGCTCTTCCTCTTCTCTAAAACAGTATTTTTGTTTATAAGTATCACAGTTAATTTTCAATGAAAAGAGAGGTGAAGAGAACATCAGTAGAGTTGTGGTCTTAATGTACTGATGTTTACAACACTTATAAAACTTTCTTTTGTATATAGCATTTGGAGCAGGTTCCTATTTACTGTTTCTTTAACAAATTCTGAAATCAGTTCAATAATCACAGTAAAATCAATTATACAGACAGATTAACTGAAATTTTGGACAGGTACAAACTTTTGTTTAAACATGTTCTCTCCTGTTTTGTCCTC